AAGTTAATTGACAAATATTATCTTTTGCCTACCTTTGTTCTTTTATTATCAGTTAAAAATTTTATTGTTTATTTTGTTATTGACAAATATTATCTTATGATAAAAGTGTAGTGGAGTATAATAAAACAAAAAAAAAAAAATTAACAGATTGGTTACTGACAGAATAATATTTTCAAAGTTAGATTTCGTTAAAAAAAATAAAAGATAAATTCTCACTTTTGATTTGTAATTTAGTTTCAACTAAAAACTAAAACTCCTATCATTTTTACGTAAATAATTAATACTAGTAAATACAAATTTAATATATATAAACTAAAATTATTATGCAGCATAATAAATGTCATCATTAACTACTGTATGTTAATTACAATTTTATTTACTGAATATAAACTTATTTTCAGAACTTCTTCAGCTGAGGCATTCATGCTAGCTTCAGCTATGAACTGCTATAATTTCTTTGTTTAACAAGTTAAAAGGTTTCTTTATGAGATCTAGGGGCGTCGTCTTGAAGGTAGAGGTGGTGTTGGGGGGGGGGGGGATTAAAACGAGCCTCCCCAGAATCTAGGAAAAAAAAAAGTTGGAAATTTCCTCGCCACTAGTTATAATAATTGGGAATTTCTTAACCGGGAAAATAGTCGGAATTAGGTTTGTAGGAAAAGACCCAATATGAATAAGAATACATAATGAGATTCAGAGACGGATCCATCATTTTTTTGGTGTTTAAAATAACTTCCAGACATGGAGCGAATTCCAAATATTTGTATTTTTATATTTATGTCAAATAATGATTCTTTGCAAAAAATTGCGATGGCTAAGAACAAGATGTCTTTAAATTTTGTCTAAAACAATTTTTAATAACGACTATAAAACCAGTTTAGAAAGATCCGTTCATGGCAGTAAAAAGATTTATATACAAATATTGGGAGCTAAGGAGACTATAAAGAATCCTTTTGTTATCTCCTAGTGATTGATTCGTTTTTGTTTGTTAAACAAAAATTAGAAATCTATATTTCAAATATAGATAATTAAATAGATTTAATTATCTATATTTGATTATATTTAATTATCTAATTTTTGAATATTGTTTAATTGTGTACATTTTTTTTAACGAAAACTCTTTTTAATAAAATTCTAGTGATTGATTCGTTCTTGTTTGTAAAACAGGATTTTTCCATTGTTTGCAAAAAATTAATTTTTTTTATTGTAATTATAAGCTATAACCATAAAGCAGCCTTGGCGCAGTGGTTAGAGTTCTGACTCAGAACTCAGAGGTCCGAGGTTCGACGCCGACTCTAGTCCAATAAGCCACATTAGTAAGGAAGGAGGTGTGAACTTCTCGTTAAATACTCTCCTGCAGTGCTCCGTGATAAGACCGTAAGGACTTTTAGGAGCACCAAATAACCTAAAAAAAAAAAATGACTATATAGCCTATAAGTCTTTAATACATTTAAGAAACATCAAAATTCAATGCAACAAATCAGAAACACGAGCTCTATGAGGGCACATTATCGATCCAATTTGACAAAAGATACGCTTGACAGGAGCTGACATTACAGAGACACAGAAATACTTGTCAAATATTATTTGACAAGTATTTCTGTGTCTGACATTACAGGGACACAGAAATACTGTCAAATATTATTTGACAAGTATTTCTGTGAAGATTCAAAAGCCCTTTTGAATCTGAGGTAAAGGGCTTTTAAATCTGAGGTATAACCAGGGCCGGCGAAAGGCCATGCGAGTTATGCGGTCGCATAGGGCGCCGGCTAGGCTGGGGCGCTGCGCTGACGTGGCCATCGTTTTTTTTTTTTTTATTGTTTTATTTTTAAATCATTAAAATTTTAAACTTCGATTTTCAAAAAAATAAACAATTTATTATAATAAATTATAATAAATTAACGTCCATAAATTGCATATGTACTGAGATCTTTACATATTGAGGGCGCCAAACTTTATATGCTAAACTAATAATTTTTTACATTTTTACTCAGCACTTCAATGAAAAAATAATTAGTTTGAGAGTATTATTTGTTTGAAAGAATAAGTTTTTGAATTAATTGTTTATTTAATTGTAAACTCACATTAGGGGGCGCCAAAGTTTTAACTTAACCTATTGATCTTGTATGTATTTGCATCTGCACCTCAATTAAAAAAATAATTACAGTAGTTAGTTAATTATGTGAAAGAATAAGTTTTTGAGTCATCATGGCGGTAAAAAAAAAACCTTTGTGTTGTTTTTTTTTTATTTAGAAAACGCAAATCAGAGAGAGAATAAATAAACAAACATTGATTAAATTTTTCTATAAACTGGAAAAACAAGATCCAAAAGATAATCAGCATCAATTGCAGATAAGATACGATATCAGAGTGAATTTATTACAATTAACTTTGTTAATAAATACATATAATAATAAGTTAAAGAGATAATTGGTTATCCTTTGTTTAAGCCTTAATGACCATTGTTTTCTATTTTTATAATATTCTTTTCTTGATGTTCGGTGTTGGGTGTACTTTTAAGCATAATTAAAATCATAACAAACCAAAAATAAAGCATCTTGTACCCTAAGTGCAAAAGATCAGGAGAAAATTCACAGTCCTAAGATTTAAAAGACATTCTTGATGAAGCAGTTGAAGCTATATCGTTTTTTGTACAAGAGCGCTTTAATTTACAACCAAGTACCAGTAAAAGTACATCAATTTCATTTTTTTTTAAGGTTTAAAAAAAAAGGTTGTTTAAAATCACAGTAGTTGTTTTAAAACAAAAACTTTAGTTTTAACTCCTCTTATGGTATTGTGCGATTCCTTGGTACTCAAGAAACAGATTATTGTGGAACAAGTGAAACAGTTTTCAAAGAAAACAATGGAAACTTTTTGACCCACGAGCTTATTTTGTTTCTTGTGAAAGCCATTAACTAAAACTTGTTGTTAGTTATGCAGAATTTTTATTCACTCTAGCTGTTAACTTTTTCAGCAATATTCAGGAGATTTATATGCATTAAAAAATCTCTGATGAAGTTGTGGCTAAGCCAATAAAAATCAAAAAGCAATTTTACTATGAAGATGAATCTTTGAAGTCGGCAATTTTTTTAAATTTCTTTTTTGTAGTTTTAGATACCGCAACTTATGAATGGTTTGAACAGATGAAAAATCGCAGGAAACACTTCGAATTCCTCAATAACATAAAAAATAAGTAATGCAAAACAAATGCAGTTATAGAAAAGTGCAAAAACTTGCACTTCGTTTTGACAATTGATGGCAAAAGCTCTTGTGTGATCTCACCGTGTATCTTGTGAGATCTCACCGTGTTGATGTCACTCTAGAATGACGTCAACAGGAATGAACTGTTAGGTGAAATTATAATCTTAGCTCAAATGTTGCCAAGCGATAGATAGAACGATAGCTTCCCCAAAAAAACATTGTCATTGTCAACATTTTCAAAACTTTTTGATTAATTCCTAACTTTTTGATCATTCCTAATGTGTGTGTAGTATTGAAAATTTTGCTTTTGCTCCCGGTATCAGTGGCCAGCGGAGAAAGGAGTTTTTCTAAATTATCAATTTTTAAGAAACAGTTATGTTAGTAACATTCTATTTTAAAAACACATAAAAATATAAACTTTCAAAATATTTTATAAAATATTTTTAATTGATACACTTTTTTTATAATAGGGGGCACCAAACTGTGATCTCGCATATACCAAAAAAAATCCTTGAACCGGCCCTGGGTGTAACACTATTTTACAACATTTTATTTATAGTAACATTTTTATTGAATCTTACGAGATCATAAAAACTATACTCTTCAAAGTGTTTAGTTGCTCAATAAAACAAGGAATATTTCCTGACCAACTAAAGATCGCCAAAGTTACACCATTATATAAAGGTGGTGAATTATCAAATATAACTAATTATCAACCAATATCTGTACTCTCTGGTTTTTCAAAGGTTTTTGAAAGGATTCTTTACAACAAAATATATGAACATCTTTCTGAAAATTAAATATTAAATGACAGTCAATATGGATTTAAAAAAAAGTAATTCCACGGAATACGCCATACTTCATGTAACTAAAAATAATGCAGATTCTTTTGAGAAATCACAATTTACTCTTAGAGCTTTCATTGATCTATCAAAAGCTTTTGATACGATAGATCATGAGATTTTTAAACAAAAAATTAAAAACTATGGAATCAGCGGAAATTTCTTAAATTTGCTAAAAAACTATCTAAGCAATCGTATGCAGATTGTGCAAATTGACGTATCCTCCTCAACAAGTTTACTAGATATAACATGTGGTGTTCCCCAAGGGTCTATACTAGGGCCACTGCTTTTTCTCATTTATGTTAATAATCTGCACAATGCCTCAAATTCGAAGACAGTAATGTTTGCTGATGATACAAATCTTTTTTTATCCGGTAAAAATATCATTACACTATTTAATGACATCAACGTAGAACTAATTAAAATTTCAAATTGGTTTAAGTCAAATAAACTACCAAATTAACTTGAAAAAAACTAAATGAACTTTATTTCATTTAAAATCCCAAAAAAAACTTTTACCAAATGATATGCCTCAAATATATATTGACAATGTTCAAATAAAAAAATCAAAAGTTATACCTTTCCTTGGTGTTTTCATTGATGAAAATCTAACAAGGAAAAACCATATCGAAACTTTGCGCAATAAAGTTTCAAAAAATATTAAAGAAAAATTTCTCAAAGTTGGAGTTTTCTAACTTTTAAAATTAAGCTGAAAAAAGTTGAGTTGAAAAAATTGCTAAGCTACTAAAGAAAATATTCCAAAGATTGCTGCATTTTTTGAAAATAAGTCAGGGTGCTCCCAAAAGAAAGTAGCTCAAGTTTTTAACTGTAGTCAAACTTAAATTATTAAATTCAAAGTATTAAAAACAAACTCAAAGTATTAAAAACAATGACTAACTTTCAAACTTTCAAAAAAAAAAAAAAAATCGTCCAGATCGTAGCCATCAGCAGAAGAAAGTTATGCGTCCTAAATGTTGTAAATTGCACGAAAATTATAAAAACTTGGATTTTGTTATGGATGATGAAAGCTATTTTACCTTAAACAATAGCACATTAGCTGGTAATGATAGGTTTTATGCCGATGATCCTTCTCAATATTCTGACAAAGTAAGATACAATTTGCGTAAAAAGTACGAGGACAAGCTCTTAGTTTCTTGTTGCATGAGCCCCCGTGGAATAAGCTCTCTTTATATTCATCACAGTAAGCAGGCAATCGACCAGTACACTTATAACTTATATTATAGAAAAAACTTTACTTCCTCTAGTATCAGAGTATTATAAAAAAGACAATGAGCCTGATCTAGCTCGATCACATTACGTAAAGTCGGTCATCGACTTTTTAAAAATGAAAAAAAAAGTCAAAGTTGTACACAAAGATATAAACCCAGCTAACGTTCCAGGAGCAAGACCAATTGAAAACTTTTGGGGTGATTTAAAACGGCTAGTGTATAAGAATAATTGGAGAACTGAGAGTTTGGAAGAGCTTGAAGCAAGAATTAGATATTGCTATTCAAAGATGAATAAAGAAATTTTCCTTACTCAAATAAAACATCTTTCAAAAAAACTTTATAATATTGCTAAATATAGTATTTGAAATAATTATTTTAATATATTTATAAACTACATATACTAATATATTAACAGTTGAAATATTAAATAATAAAACTTATTAGTTCTTAAAATATTAATTTTTAAATTTTGTCCAAAATTTTATTTGTGAGGTGTTATTTTGTTGACTACGACATATTTCCGTTAAATGATCAAGTCTGTGAATTACGAAAAGACGAAAAAAATTTAAATGATAAATTTTGCGGTATTTTAAGATATAATAAAAAAACCCAGACCGAAATTCTATTTTTTTTTTTAAAAAAATCTTCTTAAAATCACAATCGCTTGTCCAAATTTTAATAAGATTTTAAAAAAACGTTTTTTAGGTGAAATGAACATTATAGTTTAACAATATGATCTGTTCTGATCGTTTATTGTCAATTTTTCTTAACTATAAGCTCTTTCTTAGCCGAAGTTTTAGTATTTTTTTGTGAAAATTGATAGAAATATTGTGTTTTGACCAACTATGTATACAGTGGGTGCTCATATTATTAGAAACACGACCAAATTTTAAAAACTTTGTGAATAAAGTTCAAAATTAACAAAACATTTTAACAAAATAATTTTTTTTATTTTACAAATAGTATGTATGTATCTTTTACTTTAATCTGGGAGTTTGGCAACATTTCATCTCATTATGAAGTTATAGAGTTTTTCCTGAATTTTGACAATTTTGGCAGTTATACCTGTGTTGTTGTCGCGTGAAGTGCTGTTTGTGTATTGCTCTCTTTTTAAAGTTTTTAAAGATTTTTTTATTGTTTTGTTATTGAGTTCTATTTATGTGTCTATTTTTTACAGTTAAACATGATTAAATCAATATTTTTACATATAATTTGAAAAAAATACAATTAATTGAAAAGGTGATCAAAGTCTGGCACAATAACATAGATATTCAAAATAGTGCAATAAAATGCATAGAAAGTATGCCAAGACGTGTAGAAGCGGTAATAAGTGTTAAGGGAGGGATAACAAAATACTAAAATAAATCACCAATATGTAATCTTTTGCTTGTACAATAGTGGAATTATTTAAAAAAATATATAAATAAGTATGTTTTTTATAATAAATATAGACCGCAACACTCAAAAGTTACGAAAAAATAGTCTGCAACCTTTTTATTTCTATAATAAATAACCTTTAACAAATAATTTTCAAAAAAAAGACAGTGTTTCTAATAATAAGGAGCACCCACTGTAGATAATATACGTCAGAACCGATTAGAACTAGGACCAATGGTAAATTAAGAGACTTTTTCAAAAGATTTTAACTAAATTCATGTTAACGTCGATGAGCAGAATTGCTCTTAATACTCCAAAATGGTGTTCTTTAGATTCGCTATTATGGGTAGTAAAAATATTAGAAAAACCTGAAGCAAAAAAAAAAAATTATAACATTTAAAGATCTTGTTTGGACATATTACGCTGACAAAAACCATGCTAATTCCAAATAAAAGAATTCAAATAATTTGTAAATCGCCTTAACTACACCGAGCAGTTCATCAACAGTGTGGAGCCTATTACCTGGTTTATGATTGTCTCAGTTTTTGTTTTTGAACATGCGATATTTTTTACAATTTCCGAATCTTCAAATAATTTGTGCATTAAACCAGCTGTGCAGGCCATCGAGTTATAAGACTGATAATGACAAAATATATAAAATGCTAAAGTTGCTTCAGCTGTGTGGGCTTTTTGCAATATCTTTGAGTTTTTTTGAAAAAAGGATGTCAACCTATTTGATGACGCTGACACTTTGATTAGGTTTTTATATTTCATGGTGCTCTAAGTCATGGTGCTCTAAGTCAGTAGCTCCTTTGTTAGCGACGGAAAAGTAATTAAATAAATCACAAGTCGTACACTTTGCCTCATTCTCGTTGCGCCCTTCAACAAAGTATGAATAGTTTGTTTTTATAGTACTTGAAAACTTGCATTTCCTCTTTGTAGAAATTGAAGTCATTTTTATAAAAAAAATGAAATTCAATTTATGCGCTGTTGTTGCTATACCAGCAAAAACTAATATAGATAAAATGTGCTGAGCTAAAAATATTTTAATTAAAAAAGAATAGATCTATACTGTTTTTTAGCTACTTTGCCGTTTTACCGAACAACAATTGGAAAAGCGAAACGCGCATAGTTAAAAGTGGAACCTGAAGTTTTAATTAAAGAATAGAATGTCAAAGAAAAACTTTTAAAAGTTTCAAGAGTAGCTAAGTTTAAATGAGGAAATGTATGAATTAAAAAAAAAAAGAAAAGTATATTAAAAAAAATAAAAAAGGATGAAAAAGGAGGACATGTCCTCTTTTTGCTGGACGTCTGGCAACCCTATTCACGGGACCCAAGGACTTTGTGTACGTACATAACCTGAAATAACATTAAAGTCAATGACTGAAAATGTTGGACACCAACAGAAACGAGTTGTACTTAGTTGCCCAACATTTTCAATCATTGGCTTTAATGTTATTTCAGGTCGCGCACGTACACTAAGTCCTTGGGTCGCGTGAAACAGTTTATTTTTTGCTTTTTAGTCCATTTTTATAAATTGTTGTTTTTAAAAAGTTTTTTTAATTTTTTTTTTCTTGTGTTGTAATAACACTGTTTTTAGTGTCAAAGTGGTTTCTGGTGTTCGCGTGACCGAATAATCAAATTAAACTATTGGTTATTCGTTCAAAAATGGATTTTTTATATAAAATTGTTAAACAAAACTCTTAAATATACATTTTTAACATCTTTTTTAAACAGATTTAGATAAGTTGAATAAAAGCAGTATAAATAAATAAGAAAATACTCCACAATAAATTATATTTTAAATATTTTAAAACTATTTTTATTCAAAAAGCCTTAAAAATTCTGTTTTTAATTTTAAGAAAAAATTATGTATTTAAATGTTTTTTTAAATTTTAAAATGTTTTAAGTAATAAAACACGTAAAGATAAGTTAAATAAGATAAATTCTCATTAACCAATTATGTCATTGATTATTGCTTTAAAATGGCTAGTTAAAAATGGCAATTTAAACTGTGACATAAAACGCAAAATTAAGTTCTAAAGCTTTCAAGTAAACAAAAATAACACTTGTAAACAAAATCAACTGTAGTAAAATTTTAAAAATACAAACACGAAAGTTCTGAATTCTTAAAGAAAAGGTGGATGGCCAAGGCCAAGGCCTTTTTTTTTTTGACCTTAAGGCAAGGCCAATGACTAATAACTACGGACAAGGGGGTCTTAATAAAAGGGTAGATAGAATTTTTTACAGAACACAAGTAAAATTCTAGTTTGGCTGGTGATCAAATACACATTTTTAAACAGCTGTTTTATCATAATTTCAATGAATTTATTATGCTTATAAAAGTTTTATACTACGGTGAGAAATACACGAAAACCTATTTTTTGGAAAATCGAAGTTTACTAGATTTTTTAAAGTTTGACGATTTTAAAGACTGATTATACTGATATATATATACATATATATATATATATATATATATATATATATATATATATATATATATATATATATATATATATATATATATATATATATATATATATATATATATATATATATATATATATATATATATATATATATATATATATATATATATATAGTATCGGACAAAACAAGTGCAACCAAATAATGCTAATTTAGTTTCTTTATATAAAAGTGCTGCATTTTTTCAATTTAGAGAAATAATCATCACAAAGTTCATTATTTGTACACGAAAATTAATAAATTAATCAAAAGTATTAAAAAAATTGATTTCCTTCTGGACAAAACAAATGCAACTCCACAAAATGTTGACCAAACTGTATTTCGCTATTGATATTTTGTGGGGAATCCTTTGTTGTCACAGCCTTGCATCTTTGAGGCATAGATTCTATTAGGTGATCAATGAAACTTTGTGGAATCGCTGCCCAGGCCTTTTGGATTTGTTCAAACAGTTGATCCTTATCACGAACACCTTCACGATTAATTCTGCGGTTAACAATCTCCCACAGGTTCTCAATAGGGTTGAGATTCGGAGATTGAGGCAGCCAATCCATCAGCGATAGGTGGTTGTCTTGAAACCACTGCTTGACTACTTTTGCAGTGTGTTTCGGATCGTTGTCTTGCTGAAAAACCCATTTTATTGGCATTTTATTCTATTCAGCATGAGGTAACACAACATCTTTCAGGATATTTTTTTACATGAAACGGTCTAATATTCCATCGATTCGATGTATTGGACCTAAACCGTTAGCAGGAAAATACCCCCAGACCATTGCATTGCCTCCGCCATGCTTCACGATCTTATGGCAGTAATGTAAATCGAAGCGTTTTCTGGCTGATCGACGTACACGGCAAATGCCATCGCTTCCAATAATGTTGAACTTCGATTCATCACTGAACAGGACACTTCGCCATTTCTGCACATTCCAGTCAATATGAGATGTAGCTAACAGGAGTGTTTTCTTCTGGTTCTTTAGTAAAATCGGCGGTTTCTTTGCTGGGCGTCAAGAAAACAATCCGGCTTCAACAGCACGTTGTCTAATTGTTCGGTTTAATACAGGCAGCTCTAATTGCTTTTGTATCTCGACTGATGATATCCAGGGATCCTTCTTGACGATCATAGAACCCTCTCTAGAAGTGGTGGAACGCGGTCTTCTACCTCTGTTATCTGCTGCCAACTGCCCCGTAGAACGATATTTGGAGCATAGTCTTGATTCGGTCCATTTTTTCACGCGATATTTATCACAAATACTTTTTTGTGACATTCCACTTACGTAGTCACCAATAATTTTCTTTCTTAGTTCCAATCCAAGACTGTCGGAAGCCATTTTTGCACTTGAATTCATAAAAATAATAAAAATAAATAATCACGCTTCACAAGGCTTACCGTGTTACATTTATCTTGCGATGATACAATAATGCTCTGTGGAACACAACGTCTTGGTTGGATGTGGACTTTATTGATGTAATAAAACGCTTGTTGTATTTCACTTCTTGTATTGATGTTCTTTGATAAAACACTTTTATAAAAATCATTTTGATAAACTGTCTTGATAATACTGATTGATTGACTTCCATATACTGACTGAATTACATGTCGGTTTACATGTCTCTTATATAGTAAAATGAACCTGTGTGAACCTGTTCTGAAAGATTATAGATGCTTCTTTTCAATGCTTCTGGAAGCTTCTGGAGGCGTCTGGATGCTTCTGGATACTTCTGGATGCTTCCAGATGCTTCTTCTGGAAACTTCTGGAAGCTTCTGCATGCTTCTGAAAACTTCTCAAAACTTCTGGATACTTCCTTTAATTATTAAGAAACTTCCGTGACGTTGACACGGACTAGACTTAAGAAAATGAAACAAACCAGTTGCACTTGTTTTGTCCGCTGCAAAATGGCACTTGTCAACGAAATTCTGCCTATGTGTTGTCACCTGTCAGCTGATTGCTTATGTCATGGCATGCTATGACTCCAGACTCCTGAACTGTTTGCTGCAGTAGTATAGTTCGTTTCGTTTTTAAGACATGTAAAATTAGGAACACTTTTTAGCATTGTTCGATGTTGGTTGCAAATGTTTTGTTCAATACTATATATATATATATATATATATATATATATATATATATATATATATATATATATATATATATATATATATATATATATATATATATATATATATATATATATATATATATATATATATATATATATATATATATATATATATATATATATATATATATAAATAATATATATATATATATATATATATATATATATATATATATATATACATATATATATATATATATATATATATATATATATATATATATATATATATATATATATATATATATTTATATATATATATTTATATATATATATATATATTTTTTGATAGGTATATCGATAAAATATATATATTTTTTGATAGGTAGGGGTTAATGATATTTAATTTTTGTTGTTTATGTGCAATTTAACTTCCTGTCATTCATTTTTTGTTTTTAATTAGGGAAATTTACTTTTGAAAAGTATATTTACTATTTATATATATTTACTTTTGAAAAATATTTTCAACTTTATAAAAGTTAAAGTAAGTTTTAATAATGTAAAATTAAAAACTTTCAGTTTATTTTGTCCGTCATAACTCAATTTATGTCTTCTTTAGGGACCTACATTATTCTAGAATGTCTTTACAATTTAAATAATAAAATTTCAGTTGTTTTTTAAGTTGTTTCTTTTAATTGTGCAGTCATATAATAAATTAATTAATGTTGGAGTTATTTTAAGATTAATATTGGGTAAATCTAGTGATGTTTCCTTTAGTAAATATGCATAAGTAGCTGTCCTTCTGCAAGAAACAAGTTTCATCCAATAAAGTATTGCCAAAGTTGTCAAAGTTATCAAGGCTACAGTCAGAGGAATAAATTTTAATGAAATTCTAACTTGAAATGGGTGTCAAATTAGAAGCGCAGAAAACAGGGCCCCTGTGGCAGAAAAAGAGTTAAAAGTGCTAAATATCACAGAAAAACAAAGAAAGTAAAAGAAAAACAAAATCGTAAGACACCATCAATAAAACTGAAAGTTGTTTTAAAAGACCAAGGAATAGAAATTTCAGTTGAATCTTTAAAAAGGAGAAGTTATGAGTTTAGATTTAAGTGTAGAAAGCCACTGAAGAAGCCGAAACTTACGCCTGCAATGATTAAAAAACGTCTTGGCATGGGCTAAGAAACACTCCTCTTTTTCTCAAGATGAATAAGGTAAATTTTCCATTAGTTTTCTCTTGAAACAAACAATTAATATTTTAATATTTCGTGTTTTTAGATGTTTTTGCATTAACATCTTATCCCAATTCATTTTATGAATATTTTTTTTTTTTTAAGTTGATTAAGGTGCCCCAAGAAGTCCTCATGGTCTTATAACAGAGCACCGCGAAAGAGCATTTAATAGGAAGTTCACACCTCCTTCCCAACCGATGTCGCAAAACTTGCCCAGAGGTGCGGTTTGAACCACGGATCTTACGTTTCTGAGGCAAGTGCGCTACCACTGCGCCACGGCTTAATATTTGAAATATTATAAAACAATATTTATTGGTTTATTCAAGTTGTATACAGCGAATAATTAACCTTTGAGGAAGACAAAGCCACATTCGTCTGTTGCAGTCCAAGAGAACAACAAAGCCAAAATGCACTGTAAGCACCCAGGATTTATAATGATTTAGTCATGCATATCGAGCAGTCAAAGTCTTTACATTGTACAAGGGATGATGAAACAAGATAGTACAAGATTGTCTGACAGACTAGCTTGATTTAACAGATACAAGAGTGGTTTCATAATGGTAAAAAAAGTAGTTTTTATGCAAAATAGTGCTCTTTACCATTCTGCAAAATCCATAAACATCACGAAACCATTTCAATTTTATCTTTGAATAATAAAAAAAAAGTTATACTTATAGTTTTATAGATATTTTTTTATATATTATATTATTTATATAATTTATATATTATATAATTTATATTTTCCGGTTATTTTAACACTTTATGCGATAAATAGAAAAAACAGCTTGTTCTGACTTCTAATATAGAAGTATGCATGATAAATCAAACCATATAAAAATAAAAATCAATCTTCAACGATGATGTTTATCATAAAATACAAGATGTTTTGAAAACCGGTAATAAAATCTAAACCTTTATAAAATATTATAAAAGAAAAAAAAAACTTGTTTCTCGGATAGCGTGTATACTTAAGAACTTGACAAAATTTTGAAAAAAAAAATTAGTAGGATCGATACAAAAAAAAAAAAAAAAAAAAAAAAAAAGAATTAAAAAGTTCCAAAACAGCATACAGAAAACAGTATAAAGAATACAATATCAGGAGTTAAAAGAGAAAACAAAAATCTAGTTCAAAACACGAATAAAAGTCTAAGAAATTTATCACGGATTTTTTTTTCTTTTCATCTTTGCAATCTGCAACTCTTTTTAATATCTTGAAGTCTCTTTAAATGCTGATTGGTTTATTGAGACAATAACTTACTTGTTGTAATTACCCTGCTTTGATAAAGTTAATATCAGTTAACAATTTTGCATTCACGCTTATTTCATAGCTTCATTGAACAGCTTTTATTATTAGACTACTTTCTGTCTATCCATTTGTAATAACACCCAGACATATGTACACTATAGTTCAGTTATCTTTTTCCCGAATCAATATAAGAGCGTCGATCAGAGGCGTTACCGTTTCGATTCTCTCGAGTTCGCAAAGGTGTAAAATTAGACGCGTTATGCGTGGTGTCGTCATTTTGGGGATTAAAAAAAATGTTTGTTTGTTGTAGGTTGCTCATACTCACTGAACTTTCACGGGAAGAGTTTGGTAAACGGTTTGTGGGTGCTGTAAAATTACGCCCACTATTGCGAGGACTAGTCTGATTAAAACTTCTACTCAGACTCGGACTACCCGAGCTCGCAACGTTATTTAAGTGAGAGCTATTGTCACTATTTTTCCGCAAATAACCATCAAACTCTAATAATTCGTTTTGGTGTTTATTTTGTAAGCCTAAAAGACGATCTTGTCGGATATCTTGAAGTCGAGTGCTCTCTTCACACATCTAAAAAAATACTTAGAAATCGATTAACTGTTACAGTCTATATTTGAACAACTGAAATATATTCGAATGCGAAGTAAATAGTAATGAATATAAAGTTGAATATATATTTGGTCAACAGTCATATATAAAAGTATATATTTAATATATACTTTCATATATGGAATAGTGATACTCGGTAACGGGAATTGCGGTATTACCGCGGGAATGTTTAATAAATTATGGTAATACGGCGGTAACAGTAATAACGTGCTTGGTAATTCCGCGGTAGCGGTAACAGGTGTTAAACATGATAGTTAAGAAACACGAAATATAACCAAATTATGAAGTTATGCTTAAAAATGTTATTTCTGCATAGTTTAGATAAGGTACGCGTAACTATACAATTGAACCATGGAAAGTTGAATTTATGAATAAAAAATGGTTAAAATACAAAAATTTTATATGTAAGTTATTATTTGGATGTGGTTTACTGGTTTATCAAATTTGCTTTATTGCTGGGGATGGGAATAAACTGGATGGGTACAAACTTGATTGGAATGGAAAAAACTATATGAGGACGGGGATGGTTTTTGTACTTATCTTATATGGAGCGTTTATTTGAACAATTGTCATCGTTTTACTAATGAAGCCTTTCATAAAAAATTTTATATATATATATATATATATACATATATATATATATATATATATATATATATATATATATATATATATATATATATATATATATATATATATATATATATATATATATATATATATTTTATATTCAATGTTAAAATAAAATAAAAAATCTATTATTAAACATTATTACAAAAACAAAATTTGTATTTCAAAATAATAATTAATAATAATAGTAATAATTATAATAATAATAACAACAACAAAAACAACAACAATAACAAAAAGATATTAACAATATCGATAGTTTATGTGTATATATGCAGGTTTTTTGTGGGTGATTAACTGTAACTAGATGTAAAATGTACATTATATTTTAGTGAAAAATGCAAACAAATTTAAAAATAAACTCATATATTCAAAAATGCAGATATCTATGTATAAAAATACATGCATTACCTATAATATAAAATATACATAAGTATATAAATATACATATAAAATATTTAAAGCAAATAAAATTAACTTTACCCTTTCTTCAAGAAGTTTTTTACGAAGGGCAACTCTATCTTGAAGATCCTGAAGTTCTTTTTCCATATGATTTTTTAAATGCGTAGACTGTCTTGTTTGATAGGTGATAAGCATGTCTTGTTCTTGCTTAAGTTGAGCACGCAACCCATTTAGTTCCTCCAATTGTATCTCATCTAAGCGAACCTTTATAAGTATAACCAAAATAAAATAACTAAATATTAAGCAAATTACATTGTTGTAATTTCAAAATTATAACAATTAATTTACATAAATGTACTTAATAAAAATTTAAAAACACTTTTTAATAACTTTAAAATAAACTTGCATTCAAATTTTAAAATAACAACTAAAATTCTTTTAAAATTTTTTTTTTATTCTTAGTGAATTAAAAAAAAAATTGCATTCAATCAAAAAATTTTTTTTCTTTTTACATAAAGAATAGTAATAAAAATAGTAATAAAAGTAGTAATCAAAAAAGGTTTTTGATTGCTACTTGATTGAAATTGGGATTGATTTAACAGGCAAGGTTAACAGATTTAACAGGTTTGTACTTGATTGAAATTAGCATTGATACAACAAGTAAATGTACTTAATGTGTTTTTCATTTAACTATTAACTACATAGCTTCATTTTAAGTTTATTCTCTCTTCATGTTAGTCAAATATTTCTCGTCGTTCTTTGTAATAGACAATTGTTTATTGTTTCGTTTATGCATGCTCTTTAGAACAAATGTATTTTAGTTTACCTATATTCGCTTTGAAGCACAGATAAACTGAAATGACTACTAAAATAATTACAAAACAAAAAAATAAATTTAAGGATGGTGTGTTTATTATAAATCATATATACACAATCTGAGTCATTTGGAATAGAGATTTTGTTAAACTGTTAAAGGTTTTAAATGTCAAGATTTCAAGAAAATGAGAAAACAATTAAAAAAATATAGATAAAGTAAGTAGTAGAATTATAGTATAAAAGTTTAGTATAAAAATAAAATTAAATATAAAAAATAGAAAGTAAAAAAGAATAAATCTTTTAATATTCTGTAACACTTAGTTTTAAAATTTAATTTAATTTGTTTTATAATTTGCAAATATTTACTTTTTTAATTCCAAATTTAAATAAAAGATCTACTTATCAGCCTTGAACTTGTGCCCACAAAAACATTTAAAAAAAAAAATGTCTAAAAACTTGATTATTTGAACTTTTTTTTTAAAAAAAAATATGCTTTTATAAATTTTTATATAAATTAGCCTAATTTCACTTCTTTTCACTTCAAGGTTGACACTTCTTTTCACTTCAAGGTTGACACTTCTATTCACTTCAAAGTTGACACTTATTAGAGAATTAGGGACTCTTTAAATAGTTAAAGACACAATTTCTAATTATTTTTTGTTTCAAAATGTTTGATAAGACCAAAGCATCCATCCTAAAACTTGTGTAAACACAAAAACACAAAACTCCTAAAACTTGCGTAAACACAAAAAGTTTTATTTTTTATAAACTTTTTATATTAAATATACTTTCTCTAAAATTTACCAGTTAAATAAACCAATCCAAAACATAATGTATTAAACTGTTAACCAATTAAATCTTTTATTATATTTTTTATTATTTTTTCTTTTATAATATTTTAAATTACCACTTTTTAATACTTTTGACAGAGTTTATCATTTGTAATATTTTAGCTATTTTAAAACACATTACAAAAATATAACAATAAAGTATAATTATAATAATTATTAGAAAACAAATTTTAATTAAATCTACTTTTTGTTTTTGAAGTAAGTCACTGATGCTATGTTCATATTGTGATCCAAGATCAGCAAACTTTCTCATTCTGTCTTCTTCAAATTTATTAATGACAGCTTGATGTTCTTCTCTGGGAGTATTTGCTAATGTCTGCTTTCGTAGCAGCTTGTATTGACGCTCCTGTATCTTGCATGTTTCTCTAAATTGTTTCTTAACACGATCCTCTTGAGCCTGAGCAAAAATATTTTTTAAGTAATCTTTGCAAATAAATAACTAAATAAATATATATTTAAACATGTTGTTTATTATTTTATTTAGAAAATACTTTTAAATTTTTTGGTCGTTGTCTAAGTTCAAGTAGGTGTTTTTTTTGTAGATCTAACTCTGCTTTCTTATTGTACTCCATTTGATTGTCCCACTCAGTAGCATGCAACATTTTTTGTTGCTCAAGCCGCAAATCATGCATTTCCTTGATTTGACTAAACTCCAGTTCCTCTGTACACTTATGATGATGGAGCAACATCTGATGAGCTCTATCTTTTTGAGCTTGCAACTTGTTTAACTCCTAAAATTACAAGTGAATGATTATAAAAAATTAATTTTCTAAGCATTTTTTTTATTTCTAATAATATTAACTTAGAAATCTTTTTTGATCAAAGCCTGAACATATTTTTGCCTACAAAATTAAACAATAATATACACACAAAAAATATATATACTTCAAATAGCATTTCTTTTTGTTGAGCTTGACGTTTTAAAATTTGATTTTTTTTAAATTTTCGTAACTCTTCCTCTACCATAATTTTATGTTGAAAGGCTGTTTGTTGTTCTTGTATCTTTTGCTGATCAGCATATTGTTCTCTTAACTGAGAAGATGTAACAGATGCTCTCTTCAATTGCTCATCCTGCATAAAGAAAAATTCTCCAGCATATGTTGAAACATGAAAGACACAAAAGATAAATTTTAAAAGTAAATTTAGAACCTTTTTAAGATTCTGTTTTGCTTGCTTGTAGTTTGCTTTCAACTGATTCATGACAAAGCACATTTCTTCCTCTTGCTTTTCTTTCAATTGACGCATTAGAATCTTTTCTTCATTAATACTCTCTTTGCTCTGGAAAAAATTAAAAACAAAATTAATTTGATATACAAATAAATCTTTGTAAACTGTTTTTGTAAATGGAATAAACTTATTATAATCATTATAAAATAACACTGTACTTCAAAATACAGATTATGCACTATAATAATCTACGTAGTTTGCTCAGGCATATTTATGTAAAATATTAATTATATATATTCAAAAAAAAAAATAAACAAATAGTAATAATAAATAAAAAATTAAAAAAAAAAGTATAAATTAATAAATTCCTATTAGTTTGAGCAGGCAGTTTTCTTATCATGTTTATAAGTATTTCAACAAATTTTAAATATTTGAACTGAAGATGACTAGCTGTAGTCAAAATATGCTTTTTATTAATAAAATTATTGTAATAATTAAAATGTTTGGGTTGTAAATCCTCTTACTTCATATAGAAGAACTTTTAAAAATAATTTTTATTGAATATTATTCAAACCAAAATGCAATAATTATGTATATTATATAAATTTTATATTCAAAAATCTTTGAATACAATATTTTTTGTACAGATTACCAGTTTTTTTGCTTACCTTCGATGTTTGAAAAATGAGTTTTATGAAAAATGAGTTTATTCATTGGATTACCCTTAAAATATGTATGTTTTAGAATATAACAGTATATATAGCATAAAAATAGAGTATACAAGACCTTATTAATGCAAACATATTAAAACAGGTAATTTTTAAACTAAAATTATGGTCGTTAAAAACTTAATAAAAAGTTTTGTAGTAACTTTATGATTTCTTAATAGTATTTTAGTGCGCTTTGAAAAAAAAAAAAAAAATTGCATTGATACACATTATATGCATTGATGCATATTAAAATCTTTTATACTATTAAAATCTTTTTTTATAAAATTTTATTTTATATTATTATTATATATTATATATCGATAAAGGTGTTATGTATTGTGTTATATACTGATAAAGGTGTTTTATATTGATAAAGGTGTGGCAGAACAGTGTCGCAAAATTTTGATTATCGTAAATTTGATTGTTGAAAATGCAAAAAAGTAATAGTGTTGCAAATTGTTGCATTATTGATTGACGAATAACAGAATAAGGAATGTTGCAAATGATTTTAATGAATAGTGTCGAAATTAAAAAAAGGAATAATGTCGCAAATGATTTTAACCTGCAAAGTACTTTTAATTCGTAAAGTAATTTAATGAATAGTGTCGAAATCACACAAAAAAGGAATATAGTTACAAATGAATTTAATGAATAGTGTTGAAAAAAGGAATATTGTCCTTAAGGAGTTTAACGAATAGTAACAAAAAAAAAAAAAAAATTTAACTTTAAATGTGTGTTTATATAACATGTCAGATGTCTTACTGAAATAGCCTGCTGCCAGTGGCTTCAGTACATACAATAACTATCTTATAACCTGCTGCTGTAAAGGAGTGCCTGTACATCAACCGAGAGTTTGGAGTTCTTTCATTATGCTTTTTTTTTCTGTAAAAGCCGTATGCTTTAAAGATAAGCAAAACTAGTAAGCAATTGGTGAAATTAACTATTTGCAACACTGTTCCGTTTTTACTACTTGCAACATCATTACTTTTTTTTGTTTTTGACACTATTTATTAAATAAATTTGCAACACTATTCCTTTTTTTTGCGACATTAGTTCTCTTTAATATATTAGACACTATTCTGAAGTTCATTTTCCACACTATTTCTGTCACCCATAGATAAAAATTAGAAAAAATGTTTCAGCTTCTAAACTCATTTTTACATATAGTTTAAATACCATGGACTTTATAATTATTTTAATGCTGATAGAAATCAGTACTTTTTATAATCCAATTATACTTAATTAATAATTATTTCTTAATACATTGCAACAGCAATTTATTTAACTTAAGTAACATTAGTTTTTGCCCTAAAGTTTTTTGCTTTAACAACACTGTTAAAATGTAATTATTAAACTACTAATTTAGTAAACTAATTACTTATTTTTTATCAAATTAATAATGTAAAAAAGTAATTTAACTAATTTAATAAAAGTAATTTGATGCAAATAAGTAGCTCTTTATGTTGACTCAACTGCATCAAAATAATATTTTTAGTTGCTCATCAAGAATGGTGGTGCTATGTCAGCACAACATTGATATCTATCTATGTATCTATTTATCTATATATATATATATATATATATATATATATATATATATATATATATATATATATATATATATATATATATATATATATATATATATATATATATATATATATATATATATATATATGTATGTATACTTTCACAACATTTATATATATAATATATATATATACTATACTTATATATATACAACTATTTCACAACTATATATATACAACTATTTCACATATATATACAAATATTTCACAACATTTATATATATAATATATATATATATATACATTTATATATATACTATACTTTCACAACATTTATATATATAAAAACTGAAATGTGTAGTTAAAAGCAGCCCATTACATTAAGACTTGACCAAAAGACACAAAATATGGCCCAAAAGAACCCATACTTAAATGGCCCGAAACACTCCAGACATGAATCCAATTGAAAACTTATAGAAGCAACTGAAAGATCCACACAGTATCCTTACAACAAAAACCAAACTGATTGAACGGTTAATTCAGGTGTGGTTCCATAATGCAAAAATTAAAGAACTTTATCAAAATTAAAGTTTGATTTTTATCTATACCTAACTGTGTTAGTGCCTTAAAAATTGGCTATAGGTGGGCAAACTATGTATTGAAATGTTTAATGAACTATTTGAAAGAGATACTTAATATGTTCTTATGACTTATTCATGACTTATATATATATATATATATATATATATATATATATATATATATATATATATATATATATATATATATATATATATATATATATATATATATATATATATATATAAACATATATATATATAAACATATATATATATATATATATATATATATAAACAATATATACATATACACACATACATATATATATATATATATATAAATATATATATATATATATATATATATATATATATATATATATATATATATATATATATATATATATATATATATATATATATATATATATATATATGAGGTTGCGGTAGTGCTCGCCTCATCCCCACCATGCCCCTGGTAGTACCGCGCCCAAATTGTTTCTTAGCGCAAGGGCCCTGTTTGTCAAGGTTCATGTTCCAGAGTTATAGATGGTTGTAACCACAACTAAAGTAGCCTCCTTGACTGTAGTGGCCTTCTCAGCCTTGGGTTGAGAAGGTCACTACTGTCAAGGAGGCAAACTACCTAGTTTACAAACTATGTAGTTTATAAGGCAAACTACATTTATTATAGTTTTTTTTATGCACTATAATAAACTTTAGTTTATTATAGTGCATAAAAAAAAAGCCAAGTAATTACTTAGCTTTACATGAACAAAAATTTCAGTAAAATCGCTCAAAATTTTATTCAAGTAAAACTGAGCAACTACTCCAAAAATGCTAAGTAAAAGCAATTGCTTTTTTTTATTCACCTGGCCTATTTACTAATGAAACAACCACAAAACAAAGCAATAAAATCAATAACAAAAAAATCATTACACTTTGTTCAAGTATTTGCCTGTGCTTTGATTTTAGCTTTTCCATTTCTCTGTCAAACAAATGCATTTGATTTTCAAATTCTCTTTCTAAAAGTTTGCGATGCTCACACATAACTTGCTGCTGCCTCTGTTCAATCTGTAAAAAGCGTTTTTGATGTTGCTGGCGCTCTCTATTTCAAAAAAAAAAAAAAAAAAAAAAAAAAAAAAAATCAAAATAAAATTTCTGTTTCATATTTTTAAAAAAAACTTAAATCTTTTATTGTTATAAAGACTTAAATGTTAAAACAATCATTAATCAGCAAAAGTAATTTATACTTTTAAAATTCAAATCTTACTTTTAAAATAACTTATTATTTTAATATTTATTACGTGTATTATTTTTATAAACAAATATAAATTAATAATTTTTTAAGAAGTTTATAAAATTAAATTTTGCTATTTAATTTTATTTTACTAATATAAAATAAAGGTCACCTTTTATAAACAAGGAGTTGTTCTCTATAAGCATCAGAACCTTGATGTTCTTGTACTTGACGAGCAACAAACTGTGCTGGACGCAATGTTGAAAACCTGTTATCATCAACTTGTTTCTCTGTGACTGGCTAAAATTATTTTTAATTACTTTGAAAACTATTACTAAAAATTACTTTATAACAGAAATGTTTTCAATTTATAATTGTTGTGCTATATTACTACACATGCTGTTGCTCTATTTAATATTAGTACAACATGTTGCAACTATGTTGTACAGTATGTAGTAAGTGATTGGGGTCCTGGCCATGGATAAAAATGGGACTATTTACAAACCTGGCCCAGGGCCTGGCAAATTTATAAGATTTAGCAATGGTTGATAGCTTGCTATCAACCCATACTAAATCTTGCTAGCTATCAAAACATCTATGTTTATATTGAGAGAAACTGTATTTCTTTATGTTTTTAAAATAATATAAATATATATTTAAACTAATTCACTTCCGACAAGGTTGCAAACAACCACTATTAAGTTATGAGTTACTAAAAAACAAAGGATAGGGTTAAAGAGAAAGTATCAACTAAAAATTTAACAAGTAGGTTGTAGGTTGTATGATCAGGAAAACATGAAGACGGGTGACAGTTTTGTGGTTTTATTGATCTGCGAGAAAATAAACTAGATAAATAAGAAATTTTCTAACATGGAATGACAGATACAGTAAAAAAATGCGACTTTGCTGAATGACAAGCCAAGCAAGAATGAGTTTTGGTTTATTAACCAAGAGATGATAGCTCATTTGAGCAGTGACTATAATTGTATATGCGGAAAAAAAAAGCAAATTTATAACGACGGAAAACTCAAGCTTGGCAGGTGTTCAATGTATTATTGGACTTTGTTTGAAAGTAAGAGGGTGGTTATTTGTTAATATAGAAAAGTCAATAATATTTTGATAGTTATTTGCAGTAAACAACTTAGTTTTATTGGATTTAAAGTCCACATGCTGTTACAGAAGTGAGATCAGATCGGCTGCTTGTTCTGAGCAATCAAAAAGTGAAGACATTTTGTTAAGACAATAGTATAAAGTCGAGTTGTCAGCAAATAGAGCCATTTTAGATGTAAAATTGTCAGAAAGATTGATATTGTAGATAAAAAACAATACAGAAGCAGCAATAGACCCTTGCAGTACTACTTAAGTTACTAGAAATAAAGAAGAGTGTAGGCCTTCAAGAATGACTTTACTGCAGTAAAGTTGTTGCTGTAGTTAATATTAGTGCAACATGTTGCAACTATATTGTAAAGTATGTTGTTGCTGTAGTCCAATATGTTGCAATTATATTGTACAGTATGTTGTTGCTGTAATTAATATTAGTGCAACATGTTGCAACTATATTGTAAAGTATGTTGTTACCAAAGTTAATATTAGTGCAATATGTTGCAACTATATTGTACAGTATGTTGTTGCTGTAGTTAACATTAGTGCAACATGTTGCAACTATGTGGTACAGTATGTTGTTGCTTTAGTTAATATTAGTGCAACATGTTGCAACTATGTTGTCAAAGTATGTTGTTGTAATAGATAATATTAGCGCAGCATGTTGAAACTATGAAAACTCCCTCAAAATTAATATCTCTTACACTTGTAAAAAAAACAGGTTTATCTGCTGAAGATGAAAGACTATTGGAATCATCTTCTGAGCTTGCTGTTGGAGATGTATCACTAGTGTTACTTCCTCTGCTTGTTACACTCACCCTCTTTGTTTCCTATAAAAAAATGTATAAAAAAAAGTCAATCAAAAAATTTTTTTTAAAAAAGGGTTCCACATTTTTTGATTGTTTAATATTGTAAAATAAATAGTGATCCACCAAAATTTTGTTTTGGTTTCGACCGAAATTTTAATTTGAACCTATACCTAAATTTCGGTACTTTTTATAAATTTGGAAAGAAGCAAAATTTCAGTTAATTTTGAATCTTGCAGTAATAACATTTACATTTAAAGAAAACAGATTTGCTTTAAATAGTTTAAATAAGTCTTTTTTTGTTTACTTAAGAAAGAGAACAAAAACTAAAATATTTTGTGGATGAAAGTTTTTAGTTATTTTTAAAGATTTTTCTGTGAGTACTTTTAATTTTCTTATTATTTTCTAATTATTATTATCATTACTACTATTATTATTATTATTATTATTATTACTATTATTATTATTATCATTATTATTATTATTATTAGTATATAAGATAGAAGTCGTCAAAAAAGTTGGATTTGAAAGCGTTTTACAATATCCATTAGTGATCCTAAGTATGCCAATTGTAATATTTGCAATGGAAAAATCTCATGGATTTGATGATCTTAACCTTTTATCTCATCTCAAAACTCACCATTCTCTTATTGCCAAAACCCACCCTGCTTCTGCAAAGTTAAAAGTCTCAAATGTTCAAGAAAAAAGTTTTTCTATTTCTAAATAAAACAAAAAAAGAACAACTCCTATTTTCAACATTAGATCTAAGAAGCAAAGAGCAGAAATGTTTCAATATACTATGGCCAACTGGTTTGAAACCAGCACAAAAATTAAATTGAACTCAAAAAAAGGATGAAAAATTTAATAAGTCCATATTTGAAATGATAATTCTCATCATGCAACCATGGTCAGTTGTCAATGAAGCTGGTTTCTGCAACACCATACAATAATTGATTCAACTTATGAAATTGCAAACACAAAATATAACAAAAGCATGTTGGACCCTATATACGATAAGATAAAAACTAAAATATTGTTTAGCGGAAGTCTTAAATGTGTCCTTGACAAAGTTTCATCAATGTTATTTAGGGATGACATTTTATTTCAAAATACTGTGAACAAATGAGGTTCTGTTTTTCGTATTCCAAGTTTGATGAACGTCACATTATATTAACAAATATTTATCAAAAGATTCAAGAAACAACTTAAGACTGGAACATAACTTCAAAAATTGATACCTGTTTGAAAGACAATGCTGTTAATGTTAAATCAGCCTTTAATGAACCAGGTTGTATTTATCAAACAGCTTTGTGTTTGATAGATACAAAAATGGTTTTTTTAACCATTCTCTTCAATTAGTTATTAAAAAAAGAACTTTTTAAAATAGGTTCAGTTGAAGCCTTGTTTGTTAAATGCCCAAAACTTTGCATTTATGCATCCCAGGTATAAAATGGATTTTATATAGAACTCAACAAACAGCAAGAAGTTCAAATAACAACAAAAATTGACTTGGGTTAAAAAATGACTTGGGAAAAAGGTAGAACTTGACTTTTTATATGCTGCAAAAAAATTTGTTTCTTTATCCTGCAATTGTTATCACAGTCATGGTGTTGTCATCCTCTGGCATTGAATTTTCACGGGAAGACTGAAATGTTCATGAAAAAGTGGTCAAAATTTTGTTAATTTTTAAAGAAGCCACTAAACTTCATCCTAAAAGTGATTCTTGCATCAGTGCTTGTATTCCTATTGTGACAACTATAATAAAGTCAATAGAAACTGAAAGTGAAGATGATGACATGATTAAAATGAAGCAAGCAGTAAAAATTGCAATGGAAAGTTGTTTTGGGAGCATGGAGCGTCCCAGAGCAAACTAAGCACTATTTCATCACAACGTTACTTGACCCAAAGTTCAAGCATTTTTTTTCTGTTCTCTTGATGCATGTAAAGCATCTTAACACAACTGGATTCTTTACTGCCGTCTCTCAATCAATTCAAACAAGTTTCTAAAGAAATTAATATTTTGGGCTTATCTAAATTGATAAAAAACATCACTGCCCAACTCAAGCAACATTAGACTTAAAATCAAAATCTATATTGATTGAAGAGTCAATGAATGATTAGACTCTCAATTATACTCTGACTATCTAAACTTCTGGAAGAATTACAAAAACAATTTGAGCTTTGATGTCAAGCTGGCCCTTGCTTTTGTCAAAGAGGTCAAGAGGTTTCTCACCCCTCGACCAACATCAACTGATGTGTAAAAGTTGTTTTCAACAGCTGAAGATATACTAAGCAATAAAAAAAAACAACAGACTATTACCAGATAACCTTGAAAAAATCTTGTTTTTTGCAGAGAAAATCTACCAGTTGTTAACTTTCGCTATTAATTTATATAGTTAAATTATGCATTAAAACTTAACATTGTAAAAACATGTGTAATCAATTCTAATATAATATACATCTAAATAAACAAAAAATGATAAACAAGCAATATACTTTTTCGTTTACAATACAAAAAATAGTTTACTAGTTTGTATAACAAACTAGTAAATAGGTGGAGCAATTTGAAAAATTTTTGAAATTAGGTTTGTCTGTGTTGGGAACCAATGTATTTTATTAAAAAAATAATCTTTTTTTTTTTTTTTTAAATGAGTTCTTGAGGTACCTCTAGGAACCAAAAATTTTGATGAACCCTAATATAAATGAAACTTTTTTCTAACCTATGTCAACCTCGTATTGAAAAGAGTAAAATGCTGGTTTTGAAAATACCAATTTTATTTATCTAAAATTGTTGCATTTTTGGAAGTTATGTAGAAAACGGGAGTTTTAACAAAAAAAAAAAAAAAAAAAAAAAAAAATTACATTTGTTATAGTTAGAATAAAAATCAATGATATTTTCAAATTTCAATGATATTTTCATCTTCTGTTTTCTTTTGAGTCTTAATACAAGTGAAAATTTTTTTTACTCAAATTAGGAGCCATCAAAATTTTTAGGTCCAAAAGGTATCTCAAGAACTTATCTAAATACAAAAATATTTTTTTACTTTCTTGTTATAACTAATAGAACACCATTTGCGAGTCAAGAATGTTTATTTTCAAACTTTTTTTTGCTATGAAAATTGCTCCACCCTACATGTTAAACCATTAAGCAAATACTAGAAAAACAAGCATAGCAAAAATAAAAAAATCTAGAAAAAAAGAAAACTATGTATCAATATTAAAAAAAGATTGCATACCACATCTATCATATCAACACCTCCATCTTGAGAGTCATTCCACAATGCTTCGTCAGTCTTCTTTGTTGGACTTGTATGTTCGACAGGGCCATCTTCAGAATCAGCTATCATAATTTTGATTCTGTTGTAATTTGCTTTATTTAAAACTGCAACAGCACTCTTTGTTCTTTCAATTAAATTCAATAACGTGTTCTTAGGTCTTTGACGCAATATAAATGGTTCCTATAAAAAAAAAATCCTTTGAAATTTTAGTTCAAAGGAGATTAGTTTGTAATCTCTATTGAAAATAAACAATATTTTATTTAAATAAACTATTTAACTAAAGCTTTAATTTAATTAAATCAAATTCAATTAAATACTTAATTCGATAAAACTATTTAATTAAACTGTTTCATCAAATTTTTCTTTTTAAATTGATTATTATTATTACTAATTAATATTCAACAACAAAATAAAGTTCAGTAAATATGAATCTTTTTTTTTAAAAAGGGTGAGCTTATTCAAAACATTTTAAGCTTTTAAAAAACACTGATTCATATATACTTACAATAATCACATTAAAAAACACTGATTTATATATACTTATGATAATTACATTAAGTAGAGCTTCTGCAGATGGACGATCTGATGGAACTTTTGCTAAACATTTTACAACAAATTCTCTGAACTCATTAGAACTAAAAATTAAACAATCAGCAATTTAAATACTTTATTTAACTAGAATTTAATCAATTTAAAAAATCATAACATGACTTTTAAAACTTGTTTTTGAAATTGAACTTAATAATGGCATGCATACCATTCACTAGAGGTAAGTCGAGGAGGATCATTTTGTGCAATGTGATATAACGCACTCATTGCATTCATTTTGAATAATGGAGGCTGTCTTTCGGCTAAAGATGTATAAGAATTGTTTTCATCACATATAAAATATTATTACAACGAGCTTCATTTGTTTCATAAAATTTCATAAAAATTCATAAAATATTATTACAATGAGCTTCATTTGTTGCATCTAATAATTTACCTAATTCAATGCAGGTAATCCCAAGAGACCAAATATCAACCTAAATTGTAAAAAAAAAAATAAAAACAAAAAACTCAACAAAAAAAAATTTAGAATGTCTTTTCTAAAACTTAATCTTAAAAACTTTATTTAAGACAAATATACAAACTACTCCACTTTTAATTCTTACAACATTAAATATTCATTTTACCTTGCCATCATATTGACCTTCATCCATTGCAAGAATAACTTCAGGTGACATCCTTAAAATAACATCCAAGAAAATATGTTTTAAATTCAGTAAAACAAATTTCTTACTTTTTATTTAAAAAAAAAAAAGAAGCATTACAAAATACATATCTCATAAGAATATCTTAGACAAGGGTTGAAGATGGAGTTATTATACAATTAGCAAATTAAATTAAAAAAAAAATTAAAATAAAAAAAATTTCAGGGTATCGTTTTACAGAGAAGAAGTGGACTACAGCTTCTAATTTCTATAACTTTATATATTTTCTAACAATTTCTATAAATTTGCTCTTCAAAATACATTAACAATCATTTTAATAGTTTGCAACAACTTACCCTGGGGTAATGTAAGTTGGAATACATTTTTTTGTTTTTTTGAGGCCTCTATTAGGCCTCAAAAAAAAAAACACCCCTTAAAAGAATGCAAAATGAAAATGCCATTATTTAGCATGTTGCTAAAAGTATTTCTCACTTCTTCAACAGGTTGTAAATTAAACAAGTTCATGTCACAGTCTTATGAAAGTTTTCTCCAGAACTCTCTTTATTTCTCTCTAAACTATTTAAAAAGTGCGTAAACTTCATCGTAAACTTTGTTACATGCTGACCTTCATCGTAAACTTAGTTACATGCTGACCTTTATCGTAAACTTTGTTATATGATCTTCATCCTTACCATTTTTATATAGTGAATCGAGAAAAGTTTTTGAAGTTATTTCTTTCCAATTTTTTTAAAATCACCCTTAATAGATAACATCTATAAAAATTATTAAAAACTATTAAAATCACCCTTAATAGATAACATCTGTGGGTACCCACAGATCATCCATATCATATTTTAAAAATCTAAAAAATTCTTTAGGTAAAACATTCAGAAAATATTTTCTCCTATTTTCCACTTAATTTTGCTTTTAGCTGAGCTGTTTCTGTTTTTTTTTTTAATTTTTGTTTGAGCAATGAGTGAAAAAGATTAAAAACAAATACATTAAAAAAATATTCACCTAAACATGTACGGAAAACTTTTTGGATATCCGGAAAAACTAAAAGTTAAGTAAAATATCCGGAATTCCGGAAATATCCAGAAAAAAATAATCCATGAGGTACCACAGGGTTCCATCCTTGTTCCCATGCTAATTCTCATCTTTGCTAATGATCTTCTTGTTTAAAGCAGCACATTCTGCTGATGGCATATTATTAAGTAAATACTCATGCTTTGACAAAAAAGTACACATTTTTATAGCTTAGAATCATCACATTTTCATGGCTTAGAACTAAATGTGATCTCTTTGGCAGATTTTTCGAGCAGATATCAATGACTGATACAACAACATCATTTCAAACTTATTTAAAATATCTTTTAAATCCTTAACACAAAAAACTTTAAAAATATAAAGCTTAGTTTTGTGCAGAAAGTGCACACAAAAAAAAAAAACTTTAAAATTAATTGAAAACAAATTTTTTGCATAAAAATTAGCTTTGTGAAAAAAACATACCAGTATGGCGTTCCAACAAAAGAATTAGCTGGTACTTTCATGGAACCAGATCCAAAATCAGCTATAAGAAATAACATTTACATTTTTTTAATTGTAAATTTCATTCATGTCAAAATTTTAAAGATCAAAAATTATTTTCAATTCTAGTGTTCTAGTGTTCAAGTGTTCTAATGTTCTAGTGTTTAAATGTTCTAGATTCTAGATAGAAACAACAAGAATCAAAATTAATTGACTCTAAATTTTTATTGTTTTTGTTGTGTTATATTAACCCTTTAACAGTCCCTTGTTTTTTTTAAAAACGGTTGCAATTAGTCCAGCTTCTTTTTTTTAAGTGGTCTCTAAATGTCCCGTATTTTTAAATTCATCGTGTTTTTTTACAAATAGAATAAAAAATATTCTTACTATTTTTAACATTATTAAACACTACAAAATGTTTTTATTCAAGTTTAATAATATATAAATCATACTACATATGTATAAAAGAATATATAAATCATACTACATATGTATAAAATTTTAAAAATGTATTCACTAATATTCATTTTTTGTATGATAATTGTAAAACGCAAGGAGCTGCGAAAAATTCTACATCACATTCTACACATTCGTATCCTGAACCTTTTTGAATATTGTTTTTGTAACATACCACACACCATCTTTTAGCATGAATCTTTTATTATCCCTTTCAATAATCATTCATTAAATATATCTTTTCATTTTTGATTCATCAAGTATATAAAATTCTATCTTTTCATGAGTAAATGTTTGCTTTTTGATAATTATTTTTGCACTGATAGAACTTCCTTATTTGTCATATTTAAAATTAAATTGAACACGTTTAAAAGATAATTATTGAAACAAAAGTAATTATCTAGTAATTATCTAGTAATAACTTTTGTGACAAGTAGACGTTTAATTTCTGATGAACAAGAAGAAAATATAAAGAGATGCACAAAACCGTAATATTACGGCATGGACATTTAGAAACAACTTTTAGTTTGCGTAATATTACGGCATGGACTGTTAACGGGTTAATGACATCATACAACATTTAGAATTCTGAGATCTCAGAGTCCAGTTAAAAATTAAAACAACAGGACATTGAACCTTAGAAATATCACAGCCTAACCTGTTACTTTAAATATTAATAGAAAATTTATTAAAAAAGCACTCACCTAGCTTAACTACACCTCTTTCTGAAAGTAAAATATTTCCAGCTAAAAAAAAAAAAAAATTCAAAGATGTTTTAAATGTTTTATTTAAATGTTCAACATTTGATTAAATCATTTAATTGATGGTTATAAATAGTATAGTAGGCCTTGTTATGAGATTCTGTAATATAACCGAAATGCGTAATGTAAGTAAATGTAACTTGACTTAATATTTATATTGTTTAAAGTTAAATTACGCCAGTTGCATATTTTAAAGTACCCCAATGTAATTAAATTGAATTTGAAACCACATTAAAAATCACTTAGGTCTAAATATCTTTAAATTCAACAATATTGTTATAAAATAAAATAAATAATCAATGAAATTTAAATGTTGTTTGAAAAAATACAACATTTTTCCATATTCTAAAATTTTAAAAAATAAATTTTTCTTTATTTTAAACTTAATCTTCCTATTTGTTTCTTAAAACATTCATAACACAACATTTTACCCATAACTAAAAGTCCTCGACTGTAATGAAACTAAAAGTAGCCTGCTCAACTGTAATGGCTTTCATGGCCTTGAGGAGGTTAATTAAAATATAATAAAATAAAATAAAAAATTTATGTTTGCTTTTTCACAACTAAGTTTATTTTTTAAATTTCATTTTAAATTTATTTTAAATAATGTTTAATTTATTTTAAATAACGTTATATTTATTATAAATAACATTTATTTTAAATAACATTCATTCAATTAAAAAGTAATTTCAAAACTAAAAAAATTCTCTTTTCATAAATTTGTTATATAAAGTTTACTAAAAAAACTCTCTAAAATAAATTTCCTTTAAGCCTAATTAAGGCCTATCCGCAATGCATTTATATTGATTTGAAATTATAAATAAGCAAAATAGTCAAGTGTAAAACAAAAAACAGTAACTTTAATTAAATTTGATAAAAAAAAATTTTAATTCTATATTTTAACTACACAAATGGCTAACAACTTGTTGACTTTATCAGTTATTTTTTACTACAACAATTGTTTCGTTTTTAGCAAAGCAGAATTTTATTTATACTATATATTATTATCAGAATTTTATTTATACTATATATCAGATATCCAGTGCAGAGATTTTTTTCTCCTTAGAATCCTTGCTGTGAAATACCTGTAATATAACTGAAACATTACTTTAGGGCCCTGCGAAGCTTCGAAATTTTGAATCGAATCGAATCAAAAATATGATTCGAGATACGATTCAAAAATTTTCAAAAATTGAACCCTTATTTTGTTTTTGTTGTGGGTATTTTAGATATTCTGCTCTTTGGCGCAATCAAAACAATGTTACTTATCCTTGAATACCTTTTTAATCAGTCATTAAAAAGGTTAAACAGGGCAAGAAGCATCATTTTACAATTATTTTATTTCATTTTGAAATATATATTATTAAATAAAAAATGATTAAAGTTAGACTTCGAAATCTGGATTCAAAATGTGATTCGAATTTTGAATCAAGACCTGCTTAGATTCGAGATTAGATTCAAAACAAAAACTACTGATTCGCAGGGCCCTACATTATTTAGAATATGGTCAATAGAAAAGTTATTTTAAAAGAAAAGTAACTATTATTTGTAACTAAGATGAAAAACACAAAATTCACTTTAGAAATAAATAACAATTTTTATAAATAATAAAACCAATATTTGCATAATAAACTGCAATTCTTTTTTGCGTGGTTATTTTTAAAAATTTAAATTAAATTAGATTGAAAACTGATTAGCTTCCTAAATAAAAAATTAGTTTCTTATAAAAATGCCATTATGAAAAAATTGATAATATTCTGTCATAAAACTTTTTCTTACACAATGCTATGTCTTCCTATTATTTAATTAACTACTTAAAATTTAGTTTGAACATTTTTAAAAATATATTTGAAAAAATAAACATTTTTTTTAATGGTCGTAACTTTTTTTAATAATATATATATATAAAATTAAAACGCACTAAATTATTGCATAATAATTTTTACATTATGCAATGAAATATATATTTTATATATTAATTATAATCATATAAATTATATAAATTTATATAAATTTGTCTCAAATTGAATGCTTTGTTAAAAAAAAAAATTGTAATTATGTAAACTTTTTTACGGTGAAATTTTTAATTGTATTAATAACTTATAAACTTGCTGCATTCTATTACAGTAAGATAATATAAAAAATAATCAGTGAAAATCAGTGAAAAGTGAAAATAAGGGTTTATCAAATTTTCTATTTAATGAATAGCTAGAATAAAAACCCAAAGAAACTGCTCATCTAATTTTTAACGCCGTGATAAACAACGTTATGTATATATTCTTGTAACATAAACATTACAAGCATACGCTTGTATATCAAATATAAATTTTAATCCATCATACGAAAAAGTTATTGAAGAAAAAAAAAAATCATCCTAGTGTTAAAGTTTTTGTTAAAAATTGAAGTTTTTTTTGGCAAACACAAGTCAGATTCTAGATGTCTATAGACATCTAAAATAGGTCTAGATAAAGATGGCTAATATACATCTTCTATTATAAAAAAACATCTTTTATTTATCCTTTAAAATGGGTCCTAATTAAAGACATCTATTAAACATCTTTAAAAATGCCCATCTGGCATTCAAATATTTTATTATCTTAAAGTTCAGTTAAATATGTTAAATATATTACTCATTACAAGCATATGCTTATAAACTATGAAAAAGTAATTTTTTTAAATGAATAAACAGATAACTTGCACAAAAATCAAAAGCTCTTGTAAAAAGCTGAGAGCAGAGAAAAGCTCTCTTAAAATAACCATGCTCAAATGACGTGCCATGTTCATTTTAAGAGAGCTTTTCTTCGCGCTCATACTCATTTACTACAATTGAGGACTGCATCAATGTACCTTTTATATGTTATTAGCACTGTATTAAAGCATCGTGAGTTCATCTTTATCTTGATTTAAAATATCAGTTACAACAATCGTTGCTTTATATAGTGAAACCGATAAATACAAATTCTTAACATCAAAGTAAACCTGAATTTCATTTTTTCAATAACCCATTCTTTAGCTGCAAATACAAATCAAAATGAATTTTAACCCTGCACTTGTTTTTCTTAAGTGGAGGTTGTATTGTTTCAACAAGATGTTGTGAAAGTTTATGAAAAATGAGTTGCATATTTGAAATCAAAATGATCAATGCTATAAAAAAACTAATTGTTTTCTTGGCAACAGAAATTTTTTTTTTTGTTAACCTGTGTAATTTGCATCCAAAAACCCATTAAACTGGGTTTTTTGTTCTTAGGTTTTTGAGTTTGGGTACTAACCCTGTTTTTATGTGCTTTAATGCATCCATTTAATCTATTTGGAACAGCGCCAGAAGGATATATTTTATCATAAGTTTTTTTTACCAAATTATTGATTTTTTCTTTAGTTTACTGAGAGTTCATTGAATTAAACAAAGGAAGTTTTGTTTTGGAGCAACAACAAATAGAGTGGAGTTACCAAGTTATTCTTTTATTTTTTGCACTGCTGATTCTGAATCTAAAATAGTAAAATGAAAAATGATGCCAAAAAAAGGTTTCATACGAGTAAGAAGCCTTCCCAAGAAATGTGTCTGGTTCTTCGTCTTGTATGTCCATGCATGAGTATTTTATTTTAGACAACTTGGTCACAGCCGTTTTCAAGTTTGCGGAAAAAACGTTTTTAAAACAAAGAAGGCTAAACTATCAAAATAGAAAATGAAAATAAATTTAAATAGAAAAAAAATATATCATTAATAATAATTATTATTAATGGTTATGCAAAATTAATAATAATTATTAACTATTATTTACGTATATTTTATCAACAATATAGTAGACCAAAGGAGAGGGAGGGGGTGAGTAGAAAAACAGAAAAAATTTGAAAAGAGGTTGGATGTGAAGCCCGGAAATTCCGTGTATAAAGTAAACGCTTAATCCAAATATGCTAAACGTGAGCATTTTTCAGGACAAATAAATATAATTATATAATAAAAAAAGTTATACATAAAAATATACGCATGCATTACATAGAAAAAGTAACTTTTCGTCAAGAAAAGTTACTTTTTCTATGTAATGCATTTGTATATTTTACTTTGTCTAAACGAAAGTTACAAAAAGTAACTTTTCGTCAAGACAAGAGTATAAAGTAGAGTTGTCAGCATATAGAGCCACTTTAGATGTAAGATTGTCAGGATGATCATAAGTATATGAAGAAGAGTGTTAGCTTTTGAGGATGGCTTTGATAAAGCAGTTCAAAGAATATAATTTGATAATCTTAAAAACTTTGCCAGATATACCATATGAAGCAAGCTTATGAAAAAAAAAAGCATGCCAAACTTTATTGTAAGCTTTAGATTTATCAAGAGCAATGGTCACACAGCCCTTGCTCCGCCGCATCCATTTAATTCACAATAAAATCTTTCAGTCACAGCAGTTAGCAAGTGTGAGAAATTTGTTTATCAAAGACTCAAAAACCTTGCCAATAATAAAGATGACTGACCCAACAATAGTTAATTGGGTCAGAATGTTCACCAGAGTTTTTAAAAATTGGAACTGCAGATGCCATTTTCCAACAAGCAGGAAAATAAGATTCAGTCAGGCACTCATCAAATTTTTCAGCGAGAATCAAATAGAATTCTGGGGACCACAAGCCATATAAGAGTTTAATTGAGAAATGACATAAGCAATGGAAGCTGAAGTGATTGGGATGTCCAACAATCAGTTAACCTGTTTAATTGGAATGGGAGGTAGAATATGGCTATAAAATTCAACAGTCGAATTAGAAGAAAAGTTCTTTGCAAATAGTTCTGCTTTATTCTCGGTTTTATCCAAAAATGATCACAATTAGATATAGCATCAGCACAAGAAGGTAAAAACCATGAAGTAGAATATGGCTTGACTTATAAGCTTTCATACTTACCTGGATCCAGGAAGTCATGTAAGAGACACATTTATAAGCAAAGAAATCAGACATCAAAGAAAAAAGACATCAGCCCAAGGACCATCACAAAGAAAGTCACAAAAAGAATCCCAGCTCAGCTTTAGAGTAGTGGTAAGTAGTACAATGATACGTTTGAAGAAAAAGTATATAATAAAAAATATTTAGAGATCATTGCATGGTCAGAACTACTTAAAGGAGAACAAGGTATCTCCTTGCATTATTACCCCTGAACACAAGCTAGGGCCAGAGATAATACACAAATCAAGGAGTGAAGGTAAGTGATTAAGGTTGTCAGGAAAACAAGCCACAAATTAACTATTTGAGTAAGAATTTACAAAATACAGAAGTTATGGGTTTTAGTGCCAGCAGGGTCAGTGATATTAGAGCCAATCCATTCAGTGTGATAAGCATTAAAGACTATACATAGAATAAAGACTTTCACAATTCACTATATTTGCTGTCAATCCTACACAAAACTTACTTTATTTAATTCAAAGAGTAAAGTTTAATTCAAAGAGAAAGTAAACTAAAAGAAAATTTTGAAAAAACTTATGATAAAGTATATCCTTCTGATGCTGTTCCACCTAGATTTTATGGATGCATTAAAGGACATAAAAGTTTACCTGATGCTAACTACAGTTTCAACTAGTGGTAGCTCTAAAACTTTCACAACATCTTGTTGAAATAACACAGCACAACATCTTGTTGAAATAACACAACTTAACAAAAACAAATTCAGGGGTAAAAAGTGATTTTCATTTGTATTTGCAGCTAAAGAATGGGTAACTGAAAAAATGAAATTCAGGTTTCCTTTGATGTTGTTAATTTGTATTTATCTGTTGCACTAGATAAAGCAACGATGAAGCATTGATTTTATAAACAAAGATAAAGATAAATTCATGATACAAACTAAATTGTCATTAGTAGATATTCACAAGCTTATTAAACTTTTTGTAAGTAAATGCTATTTTTTATGGGATGACGAAATGGCTATCTTCAAAAATTCTGGTCCTTTTGGTTTGTCCATTATTGTTATTATGTCAAAAGCTTAGCTACAGTTTATCAAATTTAATGCAATCCAACAAGCTTGAAGCTTTAATACCGGGCCACTAACTTATTATTAAAAGATTGACAATGCAGACTCTTTTTTAAGATAATTTAAATTCACAAGATACAGCCATTCAGTACACTATTGAATACCAAAATTCTCAAAATCAACTAAATTTTATAGATGTTTGTATTTCCACCAATAATTTTCTTCATATACCGTAAGCAAGCAAATACTAATATATTAATTATACAACATTCTATCATTTCAGCAAATATAGCAAAAATTATTTTTAAAAGTTTTTACAAAGCCTGTTATTTTTTTATAAAAAAAAACAGACTTTATAAACACTGGTAAAAAATTATTAAAAGCATAAATAATTAAAAATTATTAAAAACTTTATCCAACACTCAGGTCAAAGTCAAAAATTCTAATTAATAATTTTACAAAAATTACCTTTAATATCTCGATGTATTCTATTATTCTGATGAAGATGGTTCAATCCATTTAATGTACCGTGACAAATAGCTGCACACTCATTCTCAGCTAATGGCTTCTTGTGTACTAAAATACAAATTCTTTGGAATTTAAGAAAATAGTCTAACTAGTGTTTACCTAAAGAGACAAAAAAAAAAAATACTTATCCATTAAAATAAAAGTTCATTTAATTACCTTCTAATATGTCTGAAGCAGAGCCAATACAGTATTCCATAACAAGCTAGAAAAAAAATTGCAAGATTGTAATTCAAAAATATAAAAATAGCACCACCTTAAATTTTCATTTAAAATAATAATTTTAAAAATAAAATAAATGACCTACAGTTAGCATAACTCTAACTATTGCATCAACACAACCTAGTAATTTTTATAAATGTAAAAATTATATACAATTTTTTTTTTGTAGTAAAACAAGCTATGTTATATTAAAGCTGGAGGTTGTAATGCTGGTTGAAGTTGTCTAAAAATTGTGTTTACTAAGTTTAGTATAAATTTGCTTGAGCATTTATATTGTTTGCAAGAGTTCATTTCTTTTATTATGTCAAAGACACTGAAAAATTTGCTTTTTTTCTCTTTTCACTTTTCTTTTAAAGTTTCAAAGTAAAAAGAGAAAAAAAGCAAATAAAAGTGCTTTAAATAAAAGCAAATAAAAGTACTTTAAAAGTGCTTTAAATAAAAACAAATAAAAGTGTATCATTCTCATTTAGATTAATTTAATTGAAACCTTAGGTATATAGTTACAAGAACTTAGTGCAAAAGATTATACTTAGTACTATCAGGTGGTATGTTACACACTTGTTTATATATAAACAATTACAACTATACTCAAATCTTGCGCGGCACATAAAGCTCCACGGTTACTTTAAACTAACTCTCATTATATTATTATAAAATATAATTATTACAAAGTTACAGTATAACTAAACGAGTATAATCAATCAACAACAACCAGGATTGTCCAATTTGTAGTGCCTAGTAACTTTCTCTGATCGCCAACAACTCCAACTACTACTTTATCTACCACCTTGTCTGCATTCTCTACATCGTCTACTAATCCACATTTTTATATGTTTTTCACAGACGCTAGACGCCTTTTAGTTTATAAACAAATTGTTCAGGTGATCTTGTTTTCCAGCGTTGATGCCAAACCTTTTCACGGTTCAATTAACCCAAGCGTTCTGCTTGAATGGTTTGTTAGCAACCTTTGCAACAGTACAAATCATCTAACACCCAACATTATTCTTTATGGTGTAATGGTTTAATTCTTTATGGTATAATTTCTAAAATGAAAATCAGTTCTGGCAAATAGATCACTAGACAAGATTTTCTTCGAGACAACAATATAAAAACTCACAGTATAGAATCACACCCACCACACAACATTTATAATATACTTATAAATGTTCAATCATTTTATATACATATAAAATGGTTGAAAATCTAATTGAACATTCTTTAATAAAACTAAAAACATTAGATCAGAGTTTGTTAAGAAGTGTTACGCAGTATTTTATGTACAAAATGGTGATTTGCATGTTCGTTCAGCAATTATATATTAAACAAAAACATTTTTATTTTGGAATACTTAAACTACATTTTAATATTATTTATGTGGTTTATTCAGAAAATATTAGGTTATAAAAAAAAGCATTTAACCACGACTGTGAATTTTTTATATCAAAGAGACTGGTTATTTTATATACTTTTTTTTTAAATAAAAAACTGAATTAACTAGAAAAAACTAGAAAAAATTTAAATTTAGTTTTAAAGGAATGTAAAACCTTTAGTAAAACCTAGAATGAAAAATTAGTTTCAAAGAAATTGAAAATAGTTTCACAATATTTATTAATGAAATTTGTTTCTTATCTAAGTAACTCATTACATAAAAAATCTCTTCATAGATTAAATATATGAAAACATGTGAAATATGTTAAAAAATATGTGAAAACCTTTTCTTTTAAAAAAGGAGAGTTGTTTTTGTTTAAAACAATTCTTTTCAAAATTGTATTTAAAACTTTTTGTTTCTTATTAATTCAATATCCTGTTAAGGATTCTTATCAAAGTTTTTTTGACATAATTAATTTATGAACATAAATTTTGTTTACGAATTTTTTATTGGAAACTAATATCTATTTATAAATTGTTTATAACCTTTATTAAAAATATTATATTAAATACGTAAAAAAAAGTTAAAATAAAGAAAAAAAAGAGTATTTTAAGTTTTAAGAAATAAATTATAAGGAAATATAATCTTTTTTAAATACCGAATTTAGATTTCATTAATTTTATTTGTTTTATTAGTTTATTAGATTTTTTAAGTTTAAAATTTAATTTAATTAAAACGCAGTACTTTAAAATATGCTAATAATGCAATTTAACTTGCAATTAATTGCTAATAACGCAATTTAACAATGTCAATATCAAAGCTGCATTTATTAGTGTTACGCATTTTTGTTACCCAATAAAATCTCATAACAAGGCCTGTAAGATCACATAAAACATAACTAAAATATCCATTGGATATAGGTACATATATGATGCTACTTGTTAACAATTTATATTATTTTATAGTAAATGGCAGTATACACGTTGCACTCAATTTGCAAACTTGTCTATTTTGCAAACTTGACATTAATATTGTTGATTTTGTGGAATATGCAAAACAAAGTGAATCAAGGTCAAGCCATTGTTATGAGATTTTATTTCATAACGGAAAAACGTAACCAGCCTTCTCTGTTTGACGAGCACTTTTACACTCTTGCAGTTTTGAGCTCGCCCACAAGCCTGCCATTACTACAGTTGGCGCTTTTTTAAGTGCTTGCCAAAAAATTTCAAGCGCGTTTTTAAATTGCAACAAATCTTTTTTCTAAGTCAAATTCTAATTAAAGAGGTACAAAAAACAAATATTTTTTACAATCGCGCATACCGGACAAATAATTACTGTCCAGCCAGCGCTTTTTGGTGCGCTAGCAGTAAAGTTTAAACAGAGAAGATGCAAGTAAATGTAACTCAAAAAGCATACAAATTTACATCGTTAAAAGTTAAGTTGTGTCATTAGCGCATTTTAAACTACCGCATTTAATTTAATTTTAAACCACATTAAAAATCTTTTAAACAAAACTATAACAAATATCACTCATGAAATCAAAATTAGAAACTTGAAAAATATTATTTTTTCTTATAATTTATTTTTCAAAACAAACTTTAATAAAATAATACTTTTATAAAAGAATATGAACAATTTATAGATAAAATCCATCATTTACCAAGCAGATATTCTTAAAATAATTTATGTTCACAAATAAAACTTATATCAAAATAATTTTTTGTGATACTGAATTATAAAAATTGTATTTTTTTTTTTTACTAAACGCTTTTCTGTTCCTTGATTAAAAAAATAAAGCTTTATCTGTTGTTTTCACACATTTTAATCTATAATACAGAGTCTTTAACATTTCTACATATGAATTATTAGTTTGCAAATACAAAAAAAAAAAAAATATTTCTTAAGTAAAAAGTTGAGATATTTGACATTCCTTAAAATTAAAATTAAATTTTCAATATTGATATCATATTTAATTTAAAGTTTTTTAGCTGAAAAACTTTAAATCAAATATGATGAAAAGTTTAAACTTAAAATTTAAACTTTAAACTAAATATGTTGAAAAGTTTAATCTTGAACCATTTTATTTAACTCAGTTTGGGAATTTTCAAATATAAGTTAATTTATTTAACAGTATGTTTTTTTTTTATTATTAAAAAAATAAATTTGACAAATGCAGGGAAAATGTTTTTACACAACGATTAAATGTTTTCTAAATAATTTAATATTTTCTAATGTTTAAATGTTTCCTAAATAAAAGCTATCAAAAGACAATTTAAATAATGAAATTTTATAAGAGTTTTGCCATAACCTAACCGTCTTACTGGATTGGTAAAATCACCATTTTGTACATAAAATGCAAACAGCGTGATGCTTCTTATGAAGGTTTGTTATTCTGACAGTTAAGTATGTTGAAATTTTCAAAATTTCTAACTCAGGCAGTGTTTCCACAATCAAAACTGCCAGTCTCTTCCAATTTGTTAACCATAGAATATTCAGACCATATTTTAAAAATCCAAAAAATTGTTTGGGTAAAATATCCAGAATATACTTTCCTCTTAATTTTGCTTTTAGCTGAGTTGTTTTTAATTTTTTTTTTCAAACTTTTCTTAGTTTTGTATAAGTAACGAGTGAAAAAGCTTAAAAAACAAATATTACAAAATTATTTATATTAAATAATACATATTACAAAAATATATACCTAAATTATTATACATTACATATTATATATTACAAATTAAATATTATATATTATAAATATTACAAAAATATATACCTAAACTTGTATGTGTGGAAAAGGTTTTGGATATTCGGAAAAACTAAAAGTTGAGAAATTTATCCGGAATTCCAGAATTATCAGGAAAAAGATAATCCCTGATTAACATTGATTATTTATTAAACAGAACTTTAAGGAAGAACAATTTGCAAGTTTAATGCTATTGCAAAGAACTTATCCTCTAACTCATCTCTTGAATCTAACAACCACAAAATTCCTGTCATTCCAAAGAAACAGGTTGATCCACTGTTAAACATCTAATTCTCTCCCGCTTCTGTTGCTTAAGTTATTTCCTACTTAAAAACTTCTACAGCTTGTGGTCAAGATATTATTCCTACCTCAGTCTTATCAAACTTACTGTTTTCCAAAAACAATCAGCGTTTCTGCCACCGTCTTACAAAAGTGTTTTCCAAAACTCTCTTAATTGTTTTTTTCATTCAAACTTTACATTGATTTTTTGTAACTTTTTCTGACATTTGCGAAGTCATTGAAATGAATAAATTATTTTTTAGATAATTTAAAAATTATAAATTGCTCGTTAGCACATTTTTTCCTCTATTAATCAATTAGTCAAAGAATCAGATAAAAATATATTTTTAGTAAAAACTTTGTTTCATGTAACATAATGTAATTATAATGTTATGTAACATAAGTAATTGCTATAGTAGCATTTCATTAAATGATTTTTTTTTATTGAGTATTAATTATTCAGTTTAATTTTTTTTTTATAACTGTTTTGATATTTAAAAAAAAGTTCAACATTAATTAAATTCAATTGCTTGGATGTTACAAAAATTCTTTTTTTAATTGAATAAAAATGTGTGCGCGCGATTTATTTTAT